CGCCTGACAGAAGGTCCTCAAGAGGTCGGAGGAAAACTCACCACCTCTGTCAGAGTGCAGACGCAGAACAGGAAGGTCCGTCCGGAAACGGCGGCGGAGCTGGAGACGAACTGTGCGGATCCAAGGGATCAGAACAGCAGGGACCTCACCCTTGGTGCGCAAGGGGAAGACCGTGGTGTAACGCGAGTAGTCGTCGACAACCAGCAAAAAGTACCGCTCACCGCCCTGGCCACGAACGCGGGCTGGGCCCCACACGTCCAGGTGGAGGGTCTGCAGAGGAGCCCCTGTCGGGGGGAACGAGGAGGAGTGAGGAGCGGCGCGCTGCCGCCCCTCGACGCAAGGAAGGCAAGGCGGCGCAGGCGAGGAAGGGAGAGGAGGGAGGGACCTGGGAAGACCAGACACAAGGTGGCGACGGTGCATGCCACGGAGGCGTGGCAAGGAGGGGTGACCCAGGCGGTGGTGCCAGAGAAGAGTCTGGTGCGACAGGGAACGACACTCACAGGCGTGGGCCACCAGACCTGACGCGGACACCTGACCGACAGCAGCGACCTGAGGAGACGCAGTGGTCAGTGTGTAGAGACTCGACCCCGGCCGACGGGTAAACGTAGCCAGGTGACGGCCGGTCCTGGAGCACGTGCAGATCGCCACACGCTGTCCTCCAGGGGTAAAGGTGTCAACCCACTGATCCTGGATGACAGCGTTGCTCACCAGGTTCGTCGAGAACGAGGGGAGGTGGAAACCCGACAACGAGCCAGACGGAACCGCCGGACAAGGGAGGACAGTGGTGGACTGGGCAAGGACTGGGCCCCCAGAGGGGTCAGCCAAGGAGACTGGGACCGGTGCAGGAAGCGGTGTGAGCTCAGTACTGTCACGAAAGAAGCAACGGGAAGCACCTGAGTCAAGGGTGAAGGTGTGACAGGCCTCAGCCGGTGCGGTACCTGAGAGAGCAGTCTCTGTGGGTGCTGTACCTGAGAGAGCAGACTCACAAGCAGCAGGGACAGCACTGGAGGGAGCAAGTACAGGGGGCACCATACCAGAGAGAGCAGACTCACTAGTACCCAGGGCAGCGGGCTCTATACCTGGGTCAGGCGGCACACACAAGTAACAGTCTCCCTCGGCACTAACAGTCAATGCATACATGGCAGCAATAATAGCATCATAGTCAAGAGCAAAGACATCAACACCAGCCCTCATGAGCTCAGCCCAGCGGGGGCGCTCAACATCCGCACCCATCTCCTCACGCCAAGCGTCGTCAAGGCGGGAGAAGCAGCGGTACGGGGTGTGGAACCTCCCACACGTCTGTCCCTTGCGGTCACCTGTGCGAATGACATAAGAACAGCGGCCACTGCCCCCCGACGTCCCACGCTGAGCAAGCCACTCACGAAGCTGCTGGGTCGTCTGGGGACGCTGCTGCTGCTGGGAGCTCTGGCCCGAGCCAGTGCCTCCACTCCGACCTCCGCCGCCACCACTACCACCGCTCCGACCGCCACCGCCACCACCGCCACCACCGCCGCCGCCGCCACCGCCGCCGCCGCCACTACTGCCACTGCTTCCTCCGCCGCCCCCGCCTCCACCGCCGACCCCACTCCCACCAGCGCTCCCGCCACCGCTCCCTCCAGCACCGCCTCCCCCCCCACCTCCCCCACCTCCTCCCCCCCCAGCGCCACCACCACCACCCTTGCCCCCCTTGCCCTTGCCGGTGCGGCGCCTCCCACCAGGAGCAGAAGCAGCGCCAACAGACTCAGCACCAAGGAAGTCAACAGCAGCAGTAGCGTAGGAGGGAGCGAGGGGAGAGGGAGAACACCCCTCAAAGATGGGGGTGCGAGGAGCGCCACGAGCAGCACCGACAGCTACAATGCTCTTTTCGGCCGCGAGCAGCTGCTCCTCTAGGAGGGGGACTGTGAGCTCAGTGGGACAGCGAGCAAGGAAGTGGTCTCGAACTGAGCTGAGGGTGTCAGGGAGACGGGTGACTATGAAGTGGAGTGTCCAGTACAGTGGAGGGGGGTTCTTAGCGCAGAACTCGGTGGGAAGGGCGGCACGCAGGCGAGCATCACTAGTGCGAAGGTGGGTGATAAGATCGGCGACTGTAGCAAAGGTGGACAGATCGGGGAACAGGTACGGCAGCATGAGGCGGCTAAGCTCGGCTGTGGCAGGCGAGGAATAGTGAGCAACGACAGCATCGTACAGGGCCTTAGCGGATTTGCAGTCGCCAAAATGCTCGAGCTCAGCTAGCGGCAGGTGACTGCGAATGGCTAGGCGAGCAGCTGCGTCACGAGTCTGCCAGTGGGAACGAACACTAAGCTCAGCTGTGGCAGGGGGGGCAGGTGCAGCACCAGACGCGTAATCATAGAGCGACACATGCTCCTTGCTATCGCTCAGAAGGAACAGCTGCAGGTCATCCAGCCAAGTGGCGAACTTCACAGGGCGGCCCTCAGCATCGAACGACAGCACGCGGATGGAAGCCATAGCGACAGTGCGACTGAGCAAAGGAAGCTGCCACAGCGCTGCAGGTAGGTAGCTCGGCGGGAAGCGCGGCGGGCGGGCGACGCGGCGAGCAGGCAGTGCGGGGGGCGGGCTACGAAGCGGGCAGCGCGGTGGGCAGGCGGCGCTGCAGGCGGGAAGTGCGGCGGGCGGGCTGCGAAGCGGGCAGCGGGGCGAGCGGGCGACGCGGCGAGCGGGCAGCGCGGCGGGCGGGCTGCGAAGCGGGCAGCGGGCGGGCGGGCGACGCTGCAAGCGGGCAGCGGGCGGGCGGGCGACGCTGCGAGCAGGCAGCGCGGCGGGCGGGCTGCGAAACGGGCAGCGCGGTAGGCGGGCGACGCTGCAAGCGGGCAGCGAGGCGGGCGGGCGACGAAACGGGCAGCGGGCGGGCGAGCGACGCCGCAAGCGGGCAGCGAGGCGGGCGGGCGACGCTGCGAGCGGGCAGCGCGGCGGGCGGGCGACGCTGCGAAGCGGGCAGCGGGCGGGCGGGCGACGCTGCGAGCAGGCAGCGCGGCGGGCGGGCTGCGAAACGGGCAGCGCGGTAGGCGGGCGACGCTGCGAGCGGGCGGCTCGGCGGGCGGGCGACGCTGCGAGGGGCGCGCGAGGGCGCTAGCGAGGGCGCGCGAGGGCGCTAACGAGGGGCGCGCGAGGGCGCTAACGAGGGGCGCGCGAGGGCGCTAACGAGGGGCGCGCGAGGGCGCTAACGAGGGCGCGCGAGGGCGCTAACGAGGGGCGCGCGAGGGCGCTAACGAGGGGCGCGCGAGGGCGCTAACGAGGGCGCACGAGGGCGCTACGAGGCTAGGGCACGGGGTAGCGTGGTAACCGCATGCGAGCGGTGGTGGGCCCTTAAAAAAAACGGTCGGTAGGTCCTAGGGACCTCCTGCTCTGAATACCATTTCAGAATAACTAGGCAAGAATGAATGCATTGAATGGAACAGTTGGGTACAAGTAGCAAACCCTAGTTGGGGTTGTACCCCATATTGGCTACCCCACTACAGCCTACCAACATATAACACATTACACTTTAACAATAACATAATGCATGTATGTCCTCCCCTTTTCTCCCATTATGCCTTGTTATTTCCCATTTGCTTTCCCTTCCTTAACCCTGTTTTGTCTTACCCTCCAGGCAGTCGAGCTCAATATGAGAAGTAGACTGATATTGCTTGTGACTTATGGTGTAGGATACATGATGTCTTGGTAATTTAGGTTTTTATTTCATCTTCGGTTAATATGCTTTGTTCGGCTTCGTGCATGCGCGTATGTGTGAATGTGTATGATCATGTGTATGCGTTGTGTTATGTGCGCTTTCATTCATGTTTCCATTGCATTAATAACACATGTCTGTGGGTTTTAAAAAATTGGGATCAAACTATCATTTCCGAGAAGGTTCTTTGCGCACTCAGTGAGTGTGTCCATTTGAACTGGATTTGATGGAATTGACCTTTTTTTTAGATCACACAGATTGTGTTGTTTCTTGTGACAGTTGGATGATTAAGAAACTATGCTATTGAGCTCCTCCCCATGCTAGGCAGAGGATGCGGTAGCATAGAGTCTTGGTCAATTAACTGTTACGCATTTTCATCATGCTATGCATTCATTTCACTACCACAGTAGCATATGCATTGTAATTATGCATTTTGCATTTACGCATAACAACATCCCGCATATGCATCACGGAATAAACAGTTACGCATTCACAGTACATCATTTTGGCAACTCATGAAAATAGGTTCAGTCAAACCAAACTAGGAAATGAGAAGTAATGTGGTTGGGCACGTGGTAAATTGACGTGGCAAATACATCAGCCAGTCACTTAGCTACCGTTCACTAGATTTTTTTCATCCTTTATTTTTGAAGTAAAGAGGATGAAAAAAAAATTGTACATAACGATTGTAATAGGTTGCTTCGCAACCCAAAAAAATCACTTTTTCTTGTAAGGGTGCCCTAAAATACAGCTCTGTAAAATAAGGGTGAACACCCAAACCCACCCTTATAGTAAGGGCCATAAGGGTGATTTACCCTTATATCGAGAGGCCTGCTTTCACCAGTCATATGTGTAGGTCCCCTCCCCTCCCCCAGTTAGTGTGCCTGCATGCCAGCAGCATCTGGGTTTGACTGATGAACCTTTTCAGCCTTGTTATCACGGGTCACAAATTGATGTTGAAACAAACAGGATGTTGCTCCAGAAGTGTCTGAGGGCTCGACGAAATAAAACGCAAGAATATGTGATGTGAGCATATTGCCAATGAAGAAGTCAAGATGGGGAAACACGAGCGTGAGATTTCGAGGATTGGAAATCTGATACTATGAGAGCCTCTCGAGAGTAGTGAAACCCCCAACGTGTGCCATGATTGGAAGACACAGCTTCAGTCATGCATGTCATCACATTCACATGCCAACCCAGCAAGGCTACCACACAGCTCTCAGGGTAGCTCTACTACTCGGCACTTGGCACACTGGCTCTGCACAAAAGCAACAGCAACAGACGGATTCTGCTGCGACTACAGGAGCCGATGCCTCTACAGCTCATCCTTGTCTGCTGCAGCAACACCTGCACCAGCACCAGCGGCAGCAGCTGCAGCAGCTACTGGCGGTATCTCAATGTCTGCTTCCACCTCCTCCCATGCTGACTGCTGGTCCACAGCCTGCTCCTTGTCCTGGTGGTGGTGGTGGTGGTGGTGCTGCTGCTGCTGCTGCTGCTGCTGCTGCTGCTGCTGCGTCTGCTGGTGCTGATGCTGGTGGTGGTGAGGGCCGTGCATGAGGCGGCACAGGAGGGAGTTGGCAGCATCCACAGCCTGCTGGGCGGCTATCTGCAGGTCCTCCAGCCAGATGCGGAAAATCCTGGCCGTGCGCTTCACCATGATGGCGGCCTTGGGGCGCCTGTACTCGCCATAGCGCCAGTCCTTGGTGGCTATGGCTCGTGTTGTGGGTGAGTCAAGGGAATCTGGAGAGGGGGCAAGAGGCGAGAGTCGTAGTTAAGGGGGTGAGGGAGGGGAGAATGTATTTGTCACCTCAAAAATCACCATCACGGGCGCCTGTACTCGCCATAGCGCCAGTCCTTAGTGGCTATGGCTCGTGTTGTGGGTGAGTCAAGGGAGTCTGGAGGGTGGAGGGGGGACGGGAGGAGCAGAGGAGGGTTTGAGAGGGAAGGGAGAATTCAAGATGGAGACTGGTCTGAGGAGGAGAGAGGAGGTGCAAGAGCGAGAAATGAATGGGTGGGTTTCTGCTCCTCTGATTGCTGTGACTACTCTGATTGCTGTGACTATTCTGATTGAGAGAAAAACGTGTGCGGCTGAGCTGCTTCTCTTGGAACATTCCCATCCACCACAATGCATGCCACCATGCATGCCACCAAGCACCCCACCATGCTGCCATGTAACCCCCATGCATGCAACACCATCACAGCCCTCACTGGCGCCCATACAGCAACTGCGCTCCTTCCATTCACCACCATGCATGCCACACCACAACACATGAAACCATGCCATCATCCCACCATGCACCCCACCATGCACCCCACCATGCACCCCACCATGCACCCCATTCACCACCATGCGTGCCACAACACATGGAGCCATACACCACGCACCCCACCATATATGCAAGCACCACCATGCATACAAGCACCACATCCATGCAAACACCATTATCCATGCAAACATTACCATGCATGCATCCCCATGCACCCCTCCATGCAACCCCCCTGCTCCACCGCACTCACCAGCGCCCATGCGGCCACTGCGTTCCACGGCGCGGCAGTAAAAGCGCTGCACGCCACGCTGCGCCACAACACATAGAGCCATGCAACCCTACGTGCAAGCACCATCCCAGCACTCACCGGCGCCCATGCGGCCGCTGGACTTCACAGCACGGCAGTAGGAGCGCTGCTCGCCCCGCTGCACCTCAACACATGGAACCATGCACACCCTCATGCATCCCCCACGCATCCATGCACGCAAGGACCATCCCAGCCCTCACCAGCGCCCATGCGGCCACTGGACTCCACAGCACGGCAGTAGGAGCGCTGCTCGCCCCGCTGCGCCCGCTGCTGCAGCTGCCCCCACTCCTCCTTGCGCTGCTGCGCCGTCACCCGCCGTGTCTCCACGATCTAGGGGAGGGGATGAGGGTGTGGGAGGGATTAGGGTGATGGGGTGTGGGATTGGGGTGATGGGATTCCGTGGGCCTGTGAGTGTGAGTAAAGCTTGATTCCTTTGTTGGAGGGCGTAAAGGAATTTGATTCGGACGCATCTCAGAGCCCCCCTCACTTCCTTGAAGGCTCTTCACGGCTCAGCGACGCGGCATGCAGTGAGGTTGGGGGAGGCCTTGTTTGTTCGGGCCTCCGACCACCACAACAGTTTGTGTGTGTGTGTGTGTGTGTGTGAGAGAGAGAGAGAGAGAGAGAGAGAGAGAGAGAGAGAGAGAGAGAGAGTGTGCGTGTGTGTGTGTGTATGCGTGTGTGTGTGTGTGTGTGTGTGTGTGTGTTTTCTCTCCACATGTCTCAAAGGCCCTCTTACCTCCTTGAAGAGCCCGTAGGAGGGGCGCAGCACGCGCGTGAGGTTGGCGGACGCCCTGTCAACGCCTGCCAGACCAAACTTGGGGCAATAGCCGTCCGCCCACTCCCAGTTGTCGCTGATGGTCCAGTGGAAATATGCGTCTATGGGCATGCCCTGTGGTGTGAGGAGAGGGAAGGGAGGGGTGTGGAAGGTGGAGAGGAGTGAGTGAGGGTGGGGGTGGGGGTGGGGGTGGGGGTGAGATATGAAGTTGTGTAATGGAAGCCACGCATCAAGACTCGTCCGCCCAATCCCAGTTATCACTGATGGTCCAGTGGAAATACGCATCTATGGGGTATTCCCTGGGGGGAAGAGGGAGAGGTGGGTGGTGATGGTAGAGAAGATTGAGTGGGGTGAGTTGGGATAGAAAAGGGTCATTCAAAAGAGGAGGGACCATGCAGGAGGGGGCGTGTACGTGCTTTTTCTAATTAACTAAGAGCAAAAAGCATAACACAACCTTCTCTGCCGCCCACCTCCTTGATGGCCGCATTGAGCGCCAGCAGGTGCTCGATGAGATACGGGCGGCGGATGTTGTCCTCAGTGTCAGCAAAGCCGTTCTCAGTGACAATGAAGCGCAGGTGGGGGTGGTGCGGCGAGTAGCGGCGGTGGAAGGCCATGAGGATGCGGTAAAAGCCATCGGGGTAGACTGCCCTGCCTGCCTCGGAGAATTCCTCCTCCTCCACACTCTGTAAGCCTGCTGTCGACATGAACTCCTGGGAGGGGTACAGGAGGGGAAGGGGACAGGGAGGGGGTGGCGGGGCGAGTAGCGGCGGTGGAAGGCCATGAGGATGCAGTCGAAGCCGTCTGGGTAGACTGCCCAACCTGCTTCTGAAAACTCCTCTTCATCCACACTCTGTAAGCCTGCTGTCGACATGAACTCCTGGAGAGGGGTTGGAGGGGAAGGGGGCAAGAGGAAAAGGGGGGCGAAGGGGAGGGAAGAGAGTAGGTGGTGGAAGGCTATGAAGATGCGGTAGAAGCAATCGGGGTAGTCTGCCCTACCGTCCTCTGAGAACCTCCCATCCTCGATACTCTCTATGCACCGCAACTTCTTGTCATCGCCAGAAACTGATGCGGTCTCTGACCTGACAGCACCATCTGCTGACCTGGCCGAACCACCTGCTGACCTGGCTGTGGCAGCTGCTGACCTGGCAGCACCATCTGCTGACCTGGCCGTAGTAGTTAAGGCCGCAGAAGTCGAGGTGGTGCTGAATGTGGTCGACCCAGGGGAAGAGCGTCATCCAGTCGATGTAGAGCGGCACAATGACGTCCAGCGCGCTGAAGGGCGTCATAAATGCCGTGTTGGCTGCGATGCCCACTGGGGCTGAGCTCCTGGGGGATGGAATGCGGATGGGGTGGGGGATGGGCCAAGGAGAGGACCAATGGGGGAAGTAGGGGTGGCGCAGTGAGGTGCAGTGAGGTGCAGTGGGGGGAGAGCGTCATCCAGTCGATGTAGAGTGGCACCACCACGTCCAGCGCGCTGTAGGGCGTCATGAATGCTGTATTGGCCGCAATGCCTACTGGGGCTGCACTCCTGGAGCATGGGACGAGGATGGGGCAAGGGGTGCCAAAAAGGGGAACTAAGGGTGGTGCAGTGAGGTGCGGCGAGGTGCAGTGAGGGGAAGAGCGTCATCCAGTCGATGTAGAGTGGCACAGTGACGTCCAGCGCGCTGAAGGGCGTCATGAATGCGGTATTCGCTGCTATTCCCACTGGGGCTGCCAGACTCCTGGGGGGCGGATGGAGGGGAAACCGTGGCGATGGCTTGCAGTGAGGGGAGGGGAAGAACGTCATCCAGTCGATGTAGAGTGGCACCACCACGTCTAGAGCGCTGTAGGGCGTCATGAAGGCGGTATTCGCTAATATGCCCTAACACCAGCTCCAGCACTTGAAGGCGTGCTGTTTGACAATGAGGGCAAGTTTTTTTCGACGGTACAGGTGTCACCGAAGCAGAAACCTGGGAGGGAGTTTCAGACTTGGGTGGAGTGGAGGGTAGCACATGGTCTGGTATACTGCGTGTCCTCCATAAAACAGAGCCAGCAACTCATAGAACCATATAGAACCATCACACGGATGGCCAACACAGTGGTCCACCATATTTTCCAAGTGCCCCTACCCTTTACCAGCGGTCCCTCCCTTCCCCAAGGGCCCATACTCACCCTTTCTTAATCGTCTTGAAGGCAGCAATGTGAGCCTCCCCAATGTGGTGCATGGCCTGGCTGTACTGCCCCGCGGGCGACATGCAGAGCGCCGACTGCAGCAGTGAGGGCGCCTTGCCGGGCGGCCACACGCCCATGCAGTAGGTGAGGATGACAAACAGGTGCGGCTCGTTGAACGTCACCCAGTAGTCTACGAGGGGGCCAAACTCCCGCACTGCCAGCCTGGGAGGGCGCAGAGGGAGGGGTGGGTGGTGGGGTGCAATGAGGGTGGGTTGGTGGCGAAGTGGGCAAGAGAAGAGTGGGTGAGGAGAGGATGACAAACAGGTGTGGCTCGTTGAACGTCACCCAGTAGTCCACCAGTAGCGCGAACTTCCGCACTGCCAGCCTGGCAGGGGTGTGGCGGGGAAGGCAAGGGAAGAGTGTGGATGAGGTGGAGGAACGGGTGGGTGGCACATGGAAGACCGGAAAGAGGTGTGTGGCAGCATGGTGCAAAGGCACGGTGCAGGTGTGTGGCTACCTACCTTCCTGTGAGGTACAGGTGGCTTGCAGTCAGCTTCTGGAGATTCCAAAACACGGTGGGAAAACAGAGGGTTTAGGGAGTGAGAAGACGCCACAGGCACAGTGAGAGTGTCTGTACACCGCGGCCCACTTGCTCCTCCACCGCACTTGCTATCTAGCACGTCGATCGCTCGCCTACTTGTCCTCCACCGCACTCCACCGCACTCACTTGCCCCTCGACCACACTCACTGTCTCCAAGAGTCAAAGTGGTCAACGAGGGAGGCGTTGATCCAGCCGCCGATGGGCTCAGCCCAGGAGGGCAGCGAGTGGTGGAAGAGCGTCAGCATCACGCGCATGCCCCTTGCACTTAACTGCCCCTCCACCGCACTCCACCGCACTCACAGGGTCCAGGAGTCGAAGTGGTTGATGAGAGATGCGTTGGTCCAGCCGCCAATGGGCTCGGCCCAGGAGGGCAGCGAGTGGTGGAAGAGCGTCAGCATCACACGCATGCCCCTGGCCCGCACCAGCGCCATTATCTCCTTGTAGCGCGCCACTGCTGTGTGGTCGATCTGCCGTGGGATGAGGGGGCATGGGATGAGGGGCATGGGATGGGGGAGAAGAAGGAGGGGAGAAGAGAGAAGGTAGGAGAGGAGAGGGTTTTGAGTCGTATCCCTGCCCCTCCCTCGCCCGTACCAGCGCCATCATCTCCTTGGAGCACGCCGACATTCAACACACCTCACAACAAATGCTCTGGCGCCCACGCCCCGCGCCCATACCCTACGCGTCTCAAAACGCGCACACACACTCATCCCAGTCTCACCTCCCCACCCACCCCGCTTGCCGCCCTCAGCATCACCCTCCCCCAGTCCACACCCTGCACGATGTCCGGAAAGAAACCTGCCCAAGTCACCCCCTCGCAACCGTTTCCACCCATCCACCTACCCATTTAGATCCAGCCGAACAACCATGTGTAACACACACACCCTCCATGCCCTAGCACATACATCCACGCGTCCACCCCTCACCTCCACCCCCTCACCTCCATCTTTCCCCCCTGTGGCTCGCGCAGAACAACCCTCCCCCAGTCAACGCCCATGCGGAAAGCCTCCACGCCTGCTTGCGCCGCCAGGTCCACCTCCGCCTCAGGCTCGGTCCAGAACCGAAGCCGCTCGTCGGCCTTGGGCACGTTGTGCCACGCCCGAACCTGATGGGTGGAAGGTTCCGCATGGGTTGTGAGGTTGAGCAGCAAGCTTCAAACATAGATGAGGATTAGTGGGTTTTTTGCAGAGCTTAGGGTATTTCATCAGGCGCGGAGTGGTGCATGGCTCTAATTGCGAGTGACAGCAGTAGGCTCATGGCATTTGCATTTCGAAAGGTATAAGGTTTGCATTGAGGCAACGGGGCAGTTGAAGAGAAAAAAGGCGGGAACGATTCAAGCAGATGAACATGCGCTGAGATAGATTCAACGAGGAAATAGCAATATGAAGAAACAGCAACAGCCAAGAGAAGGAAAGGAGGCTGACAGGGCCTCGGTCGGGCTTCTCGTTGCTTCCGCGCCGAGCGAATCGCAGCCACGCGTCATCGAGCTGGTCCTCCACGTGTGCAGGCGCCGTGGCGAGGCCAAAGAAGAACCCCTTGCCGAGAACCGGGCAGTCGCCTGCTGACGTGGACGCGGGAGATGGACGCGATGCGACGGATATGCGAAACGGTGAGAATGCAGTAATGAAGAAATCATGCGGTTATGCGCAATGCGAAATTCTCGACTGTCGGGTGAGCAGACCATGACGGTTAAAAGCGAGGCGAGGAACTAAGACTGCAATCTAAGAACAAAACCATATCCACGCGGAACAAAAGTCAGTAAAATCCGTGCAGTGAACATGCACCGTAGTGCCATAACGCACTCTCGGGTTCGAGGCACGCGCGCTTGAATTCGGCGAGAATGCCGTGGGTTTCAGTGACGGGCGGAGCCCTGAAGGCGAGCTCCTGCTTCCAGTACATCATGAAGAGCAACCCCAACGCCTGCACCATCGTCAGCACCGCGAACACTACTGCTGAGAGGATGCGCGCGAGGGACGCCATGGCTGAATCCTTGCCAAAATTATGCTAAGAGTGTAAAAATGCAGCCCAGATTCAATTGCAGAGAGCTACTGATGGGGCATTGGGTTGGGAGAAAATCGGGATTGGGGGAGTGGCTCGAGGGCGCAGGTGAGTATGGGCCACATCTGTTTACAGTGAACTTACGAAGGTTCAGTGCGGGTCCTAATGGTCTAAAGTGGTGAAACTGATTAGTGTCTCCAACCGTGCTTCACCGTATTGAAACGCGTTAGCCATGTTGGTCTTGGCAATATCAGTCTGAACTGCCAGTGCCTGGGCGTGCTTGAAGCAAATGTTGACACATCCCCGACAAAGCGTCGAGGGATGTCGATAAATCTCGACGGTCCGAGGGTTGAAATTTACCGATCCGAGGGTTGAAATTTACCGACATTCAGCACCTGTGACTCTTACAGAAGGAAGCAAGACATATCCATTCACTATCTCCTCTTACGGGTGCAATGGATCGAGGTAGCGAGGATTGCACTAAGGTGTCAAATGAGTACAAAATGTGAGCGAAGGCATGAGCGAACATTTATACGCGAAACATGCAAACGGTAACGCGGTGCGTGCGAGCTAGCTAGTACGGTGCTGGCAGCGAGGTTTGGGCGAGCCCCGAAGCGTAGGCCGACACGGCCGGGCCAGCAGAAGCCCTGTTAGCTATAACGGGTGAACAACGGCTGGTGCTGTACGCGGTGTAGCCGGACTCCGTAAGGAATGCCGAGAAAATTCCTTACATTTACCCCCCCCCTCAAGAAGCCCCCTCCGCTACGCGAGTGCGTGTATATCGCGGAATCCCCGGCTCCCCATGTACACTTGCGGGGCAGGGTGGTTTTCGATGTTGGCCAGGGGCACCCAGCTATCCTCAGTTGGCGTGCGGTCCTTCCAGCGAACGAGGAATTCGATCCGTTTGATGCCTGTGGAGTGACGGATCCGATGGCTCAGGATTCGGTCGGGCTCGATGATCGGCTCCGATGCAGGGCGAGTCATGGATGGCGGGCGGTGACGAGGTAGTTGGCTCGTGGGGATGTATGGGCGAAGCAGGCTGACGTGGAATGATGGGCTGATGTACCAGTCGGTCGGTAACAGGAGATGTGCGGTTACGGGGGTGATCAGGTGGCTGATTTGGAATGGGCCACAGTAGCGGGGTCGAAGTTTTGGTACGTCGGGCAGCCGGAGGTTTTGCGTGTCGAGTAGTACGTAATCTCCTGACTGGTACGTGACGGGGCGGCGGTGGCGGTCAGCGTTGCGCTTAGCGATGACGTTGGCTTTTTTAATGGCTTCTACGGCTCTGGTTCGGGCAGCTTGCAAGATTTCGGCGAACTGCTGTGCACGTGGCGTGGGGTTGTCCGGACTCGGCGTCATGGGCACTGTTGGATTTTGCCCGTAGTTCAGGTAAAATGGGGACTGCTTCGTGGTTGCTGACGTGGCGTTGTTGTACGCGAACTCGATCAGCGGCAGCTGCTGCTCCCAAGTCGTGGGATCGTCGCACGTGGCACGAATCAACTGCTCCATCGTCTGATTCGCCTGCTCCGTTTGACCGTCGGTCTCGGGGTGGTACGACGAGCTGAACTGTAGCCTGGTCCCGAACTCCTCCCAGAGCTTCTTCCAGAAGTTGCTGGTGAACTTCGTGTCCCTGGCGCTGATGATCCCTGCTGGTATCCCGTGCAGACGGACGACGGCTGCGATGAACAGGCGAGCTGTTTCCTCGGCTGAGATCGACTTTTTGCACGCAGCGAAGTGTGCCATCTTCGTCAACCTGTCAACGACGACCATTACCGCGTCGTTACCCCCAGGGTTCGAAGGTAACCCGGTGACGAAATCCATGGTAACCTGCTGCAAGGTGCGCTCGGGTGGTGGTATCGGCTGCAACTGACCCGCCTTCCGCTTCCTCGAGCTCTTCATCACCTGACACGTGGGACACGAGCCCACGTGTTGTTGCACGTCGGTCAACAGCTCCGGCCAGTAGTAGTACCGCTGCAGTTGCTGTCGCGTTTTTTCTACCCCAAAATGTCCCGAGGTAATCCCGTCGTGTGCCTCCTGCAGTAGCAGCTCCCTCAGTAGTGAGTACGCGGGTACCCAGATGCGGTTGGTGCCTGTTTTTACGTAATAGACTCCCTTTGCTTCTGCCAGTGTCAAGATTCTAGGCAAGAATGAATGCATTGAAAGGAGAACAAGAGTACAAGTACCTAACCCTAATGGGGTTGTACCCTATATTGTCTACCCCACTACAGCCTACCAACACATTATAATTTAACACACCCCCATAGGCAAAGTGGGGGAGAACAAGGGGTCACAAGACCAGTCCAGCAAAGCAAAGCAAGCCCAGGGTGGATCACAACGTCACCACATTCTGAACACAAGCAAAGGCCACAAGGCCAGTTCACATGCAGAGCTATATATATAGAACAAGACAAGCAACACAGTGATCAAAACCTAGCAAGCAAGCAGCGATATATATAAATCACAGTACAAAGAAAGTCAAGCAGTAAGCAAATGAGGTAATGTGGACACAAGGCCTAACGCAGTACAGTGCCGCTGATGATCACAAGGCGAAAGCGCCTTGGTGAAGACATCAGCAGTGTTGGCCTTCGAGTCCACGTACACAAGACGAAGCTGACCACGCTGCTGCAGCTCTCGAGCAAGAAAGTAGCGAAGAGCAATGTGCTTCGTTCTGTGCTCCAGTCTGTGCTCCTGACACAAGGCAAGGGCCGCCTTGTTGTCTCCGTACAGAACTGGAGGAGAACTAGGCCGCTCTCCCAAGTCAGTCAGCAGGTAGGTGAGCCAGCGTAACTCCTGTGCAGCCATGGCCGTGGCGTAGATCTCAGCCTCACAACTAGAGCTGAGAACAGAAGAAGAGCGGGTGGACCGCCAAGAGACAGAACCAGAGCCAAGGCTGAAAGTGTAACCCTGTGACGACCGCTGCGTAGCCAGGTCGTCCACCCAAGAAGCGTCTGAGTGACCAGTGAGGGCAACTCTGTCGCGTCCTCCAAGCACCAGCCCCATGCCTGATGTACTGCACAAGTAGTGCAGCACCCTCTTAGCAGCCTCCCAGTGCTCTCGCCTGTGTCTCCCAGACGCAACGTAACGAGTAAGGATGCTAAGAGGGTACGCGAGGTCAGGTCGCGTGCAAGTCATCAAGTACATGAGGCAGCCTACAAGCTCTGGGTACGGGCCACTCGGCTCTACGGACTCGTTCGAAGGGCGTGCTCTGTCCCGGGTGATCTGCAAGCCAAGGTAGCTGCGCAGCTCACCCAGGTCAGTGCAGGTGTGTCTCTTCTGCAGCTCCGACTTCACACGAGTGAGTGCCTCAGTGTCAGCAGTAGCAAAGACCAAGTCGTCGACGTACACGAGGATGTAAAACGGCGGCAGCGACGTGTCTGTGCGCAGGAACAGTGACGGGTCAGCAGTGGAGGGAGCAAACCCAAGGGCCGCAAGTGTAGTCCTCAGTGTGTCGTGCCACTCGCGCGGCGCCTGGCGGAGACCGTAGACTGGCCGCCGAAGGCTCCACTGGGTACCAGGAGGGAACGACCCAGTGAAGCCAAGTGGGCGGCGCAGCCAGATCTCCTCGTGGAGGCTGCCCTGCAAGAAAGCTGTGCTGAAGTCAAGAGAGTGCAGCTCGTAGTCACGCTGAGCAGCAACGTGCAGCAACACCCGAAGAGTGGTCATCTTCGGGGTGGGGGAGAAGGTCTGAAAGAAGTCAACTCCCTGTCGCTGACTGAAACCTCTAGCAACGTAACGAGCCTTGAAGACAGGCGAAGAACCCGGCGGCCGCTTCACCCTGAAAATCCACATGCCATCGACGATGTTCGCCCCAGGAGGGGGAACCTCGTCGACGTAGGTGCCTGTGGACTTCCAGGATGCCATCTCCGCGTCCATGGCTGTCTGCCACTGAGAGGAGTAGGGACCCGAGATCGCCTCTGCGTAAGAGCACAGAGTGGGGATGTTTTTTTTAGGGGCAAGCAGCCAGGCAACGAGATGAGGTACAGCAGCCGCAAGTGAGTCAAAGTCCTCCTGCCTGTCCTCAAGGACGTCCGTGCCAAGAGCACACTCACCCCCGACGGACGGAGGACAGACAGACTCAGACTCAGCAACAAGACTGGCAGTGTAGTCTAGACGACAGACAGCAGCAAAGTCAACAAGCTCAGTGACCAGGGCAGACGCAGCAGCCGACTCAAAAGACGGGTCAGTGACAGCAGTGGCTAACAGACGCGTGACGGTAGGGTGCTCAGCACGAAAACGGTCAGACGCAGGGTCCGGAACGTCAGGCAAAGAAGACGCAGGAGGAGACGGCAGAGGAACCGACTGTGGTACAGAGGAGGGACGACGGACGACAAGGCGAGAACCAGCAACAGGCGGCGAACGCTGGTGCGAGACGCGGCGAGCGGAACGACCAGAACGAACAGGCGAGACAGGACGCGACGCAGGCTCACGACGCTCAGTAAGACCCCCTGACTGCTCAGTGTAAGGAGAAGGAGCAGGCAAGGGCGAGCCAGGCAGTAACGGAAGACCAGTAGAAGACGGAAGACTAAGAACCTGGCGAAGGACAGAGTCAGACGGCGGCAGAGACGACGGAGATGGCGGAGCGAAGAACAGGCGCGACTGTACAGTACCGCCAGCACCAGCAGCTCCAGCACCTCCAGCGACACCACCACCCCCAGTGTCAGCTCCTCCAGGACTGTCCCCACTAGCAGCAGCACCCCCAGAACCAGCACCTCCAGTCCCAGGGTCTCCAGTCGCAGCGTCCCCAGCGGTAGCACCCTCAGACACAGCACCACCAGCCCCAGCAGCTCGAGTACCAGCGGTACGAGCACCTCCGGGACCAGCGACGGGAGTACCTCCAGGAGACAACGAACCAGCACCACTCTCAGCTCCAGGGGCGGCAGTAGAGGCACCACCAGCAGCAGAGCCCGGAGCTCCAGGAGGGCGACGCTGACGGCGACCGAACCAGTCGTGCAGCTGCTGGGAGGTGACAAGAACACGCGAACGAAGGCGGCCAATCCAGGGCGCAGCCTCCACTGGCGACGCACCCCCAGACTCAGCACCCCCAGACGCAGCACACCCAGACCCCTCAAGCACAGGCTGTGCCCTCAGACGGAGCACCGCGACAACGAGCAGCTCCAGCTCCTCCAGTACCTCCAGCTCCAGTGTCTCCAGCTCCAGTGTCTCCAGCTCCAGTGGCACCAGGCTCAGGACCTCCAGAACAACCAGCTCCGGCAGCCGCAGTACCTCCAGGACTAGCACCCCCAGAACCAGCAGCTGCAGCACCGCCAGAACCTCCAGCACCAGTGTCCCCAGTCTCAGCGCCTCCAGCTCCAGCTGCACCACGCGGAAGGCGAAAGCGCCGGACGTACCACTCACGGAGCTGCCGCTGTGTGAGAGGCTCCCGGAGAGGCGACTCAACACCCCGAGCACCCCCAGACGCAGCAACTTGAGGCACAGCACCCCCAGGCCCCGCACCCACGGTTCCAGCACCCCCAGGCTCCGCACCCTCAGGCTCAGCACCCCCAGGCTCTGCACCCCCAGGCTCAGTACCCCCAGGCTCAGCACCCCCAGGCACAGCACCTCTAGCAGCACCACCCGCAGCAGCACCTGAGTCACCTGTGACCTCGACAGGCTCAGCGACGGGAGGAGGGTCTACCTGAGAGACACCTGAAGGAGCAGGACCCTGAGGGGGAAGGGGGTCGACCGGAGGGGGACCTGGAGCAAGGAAGAGCGGCGGGGGGGGGGGGGGGCAGTGCGGTAGGGAAAGAGACGGTAAAAAGGAACCGACTCGTCAAAGGTGACGTCCTGAGAGGCGAAGACCCGGCGCGAGGTGGGGTGGTAAAACTGCCAGCCTGGCGCGTCAGGGACAAAGCCAAGGAAGACACAGGGAATGGTGCGGGAGGAGAGCTTGTCCGCGGAAGTATCGCGGACAAGGGCACGAGAACCCCACACCCGGAAGCGCGACGCATCGCCGACCTCCCCCGTCCAACGCAGCGTGGGCGAGGTCTCCGGCAAGGAGACACGGGGCCAGAGGTTGAGCTGATGCGCAGCGTACCGGACAGCAAACGGCCACAGAAAATGGGGAGCCGCCGCATGAACCAAGGAGGTACGAGCGACCTCCATGACCAGGCCAATGCGGCGCTCTGCAACCCCATTCTGCTGCGGGGAGCCCGGAAGCGTGAAGGACTGCTCGATGCCCTCCGCCTGACAGAAGGCCCTCAAGAGGTCAGAGGAGAACTCACCACCTCTGTCAGAGTGCAGACGCAGAACAGGAAGCTCTGTCCTGAACCGGCGGCGGAGCTGGAGACGAACTGTGCGGATCCAAGGGATCAGAACAGCAGGGACCTCACCCTTGGTGCGCAAGGGGAAGACCGTGGTGTAACACGAGTAGTCGTCGACAACCAGCAGAAAGTACCGCTCACCGCCCTGTCCACGGACGTGGGCTGGGCCCCACACGTCCAGGTGGAGGGTCTGCAGAGGAGCCTCGGTCGGGGGAAACGAGGAGGAGTGAGGAGCGGCGCGCTGCCGTCCCTCGACGCAAGGAAGGCAAGGCGGCGCAGGCGAGGCAGGGAGGGGAGGGAGAGACCGGGGAAGACCGGACACAAGGTGACGACGGTGCATGCCACGAAGGCGCGGCAAGGAGGGGTGACCCAGGCGGTGGTGCCAGAGAAGGGTCTGGTGCGACAGGGAGCGACACTCACAGGGGTGGGCTACTAGACCTGACGCAGACACCTGACCAACAGCAGCGACCTGAGGAGACACAGTGGTCAGTGTGTAGAGACTCGACCCCGGCTGACGAGTGAACGTAGCCAGGTGACGGCCAGTCCTGGAGCACGTGAGGATCGCCACACGCTGTCCTCCAGGGGTGAAGGTGTCAACCCAGTGATCCTGGATAACAGCGTTGCTCACCAAGTTCGTAGAGAACGAGGGGAGGTGGAAACCCGACAACGAGCCAGACGGAACCGCCGGACAGGGAAGCACAGTGGTAGACCGTGCAAGAACTGGACCCCCGGAGGGGTCAGCCAGGGAGACTGGAACTGGTGCAGGGAGGGGAGTGAGCTCAGTACTGTCACGAAAGAAGCAGCGGGAAGCACCTGAGTCAAGCGTGAAGGTGTGCAAGGCCTCAGCGGGCGCAGTACCGGAGAGCGCAGACTCGCTAGCAGGAGGGGGTGTACCGAAGGGAGTAGCCTCGGAAGGCACAGTACCTGAGAGAGCAGACTCGCTGGTACCTAGGGCAGTGGGCTCTATACCTGGGTCAGGCGGCACACACAAGTAACAGTCCCCCTCAGCACTAACAGTCAATGCATACATGGTAGCAATAATAGCATCATAATCAAGAGCAAAGATATCAACACCAGCCCTCATCAGATCAGCCCAGCGGGGGCGCTCAACCTCCTCGCCCATCTCCTCACGCCAAGCGTCGTCAAGGCGGGAGAAGCAGCGGTACTGGGTGTGGAACCTCCCACACTTCTGCCCCTTGCGTTCACCTGTGCGAATGACATAGGAACAGCGACCACTGCCTCCCGACGTCCCACGCTGAGCAAGCCACTCACGGAGCTGCTGGGTCGTCTGAGGACGCTGCTGCTGCTGAGAGGTCTGGCCCGAGCTGGGGCCTACACCCCGACCACCACCGCCGCCACTACCGCCGCTCCGACCGCCACCGCCGCCGCCGCCACCGCCACCACTGCCACTGCCGCTGCCACCGCCGCCACCGCTGCCACCACTCCCGCCGCCGCCCCCGCCCCCACCGCTGCCTCCACTCCCACCAGCACTCCCGCCACCGCTCCCTCCAGCACCGCCTCCTCCCCCACCTCCCCCACCACCTCCCCCCCCAGCGCCACCCCCGCCACCCTTGCCCCCCTTGCCCTTGCCGGTGCGGCGCCTCCCACCAGGAGCAGAAGCAGCGCCAGCAGACTCAGCACCAAGGAGGTCAACAGCAGCAGCAGTAGCGTAGGAGGGAGCGAGGGGAGAGGGAGAACACCCCTCAAAGATGGGGGTGCGAGGAGCGCCACGAGCAGCACCTACAGCTACAATGCTCTTCTCGGCTGCTAGCAGCTTCTCCTCTAGGAGGGCGACTGTGAGCTCAGTGGGACAGCGGGCAAGGAAGTAGTCTCGGACTGAGCTGAGGGTGTCAGGGAGATGGGTGACTATGAAATGGAGCGTCCAGTACAGTGGAGGGGGGTTCTTAGCGCAGAACTCGGTGGGAAGGGCGGCACGCAGGCGAGCGTCACTAGTGCGAAGGTGGGTGATGAGATCGGCGACTGTAGCAAAGGTGGACAGCTCAGGGAACAGGTAAGGCAGCATGAGGCGGCTAAGCTCGGCTGTGGCAGGTGAGGAGTAGCGAGCAACGACAGCGTCGTACAGGGCCTTAGCGGTTTTGCAGTCGCCAAAGTGCTCTAGCTCAGCGAACGGCAGGTGACTGCGAATAGCCAGGCGAGCTGCAGCGTCACGAGTCTGCCACTGGGAACGTACACTAAGCTCGGCTGTGGCAGCAGGAGCAGCGGCAGCACCAGACGCGTAGTCATAGAGGGAGACGTGGTCCGTGCTATTGCTCATAAGATACAACTGCAGGTCGTCGAGCCAGGAAGTGAACTGCACGGGACGGCCCTCAGCATCGAAGGAAAGAACGCGAATAGAGGCCATAGCTCAGGCGTGAGGGCACAGCAGAGCAGCGGCAGCAGCAGAGGGGACGCGCTAGAGCGAAGCTAGCAGCCGCAACAGGAATAAGCGGCGGTGCACGGGCAGGGAGCAGCAGGCGAGGCGGGCGGCGCACGCGGATGCGTGGGGACGCGGGGCTGCGCGCGTAGGGGAGAAGGGGCGGCCGCGGCAGCAGCAGGGTTGGCGACGGGCGGGTAGGGCTACGGGCGGGCAGCGCGACGGGCGAGCAGCCAGGCGGGCAGCGCGGAGGGCAGCGCGGCGGACAGCGCGACGGGCGGGCGACGCGGCAGGCAGCGCGACGGCGGGCAGCGCGGCGGGCAGCGCGGCGGGCAGCGCGACGGGCGGGCAGCTAGGGCGCACGAGGGCGCTAACGAGGGGCGCACGAGGGCGCTAACTGGGGCGCGTGAGGGCGCTAACGAGGGGCGCGCGAGGGCGCAGCGAGGGCGCGCGAGGGCGCTAACGAGGGCGCGCGAGGGCGCTAACGAGGGCGCACGAGGGCGCAGCTAGGGCGCAACGAGGGCGCATCGAGGGTAGGGCGCGGGGTAGCGTGGTAACCGCATGCGTGCGACGGTGGGCCCTAAAAAAAACGATCGGTAGGTCCTAGGGACCTCCTGCTCTGAAACCATGTCAAGATTCTAGGCAAGAATGAATGCATTGAAAGGAGAACAAGAGTACAAGTACCTAACCCTAATGGGGTTGTACCCTATATTGTCTACCCCACTACAGCCTACCAACACATTATAATTTAACAACCAGTTGCTGTGAATTTCCGGTCGTGAAAAATGGGTCGGTGCGGTATCCGTGGGTGAATAGGCCTGTCAAAAGCAGGTTGGTTTGGGCGAGTAGGATGGCGTGGAGTTGGGCGGTAGGGCGGGTGAGTGCGTCAGCAATGTTGGATGCACCTTTTTTGTACGTAACCGTGTAGTGGAAATTGGACTCGAGGTAGTCCAACCAGCGGATCTGTCGCAGATTAAGATTCGGTTGGGCGCGAAGGTACTGGAGTGATCGGTGGTCTGTCCGTACTGTCACGGCGACGCCAGTCAGGTAACAACGCCAAACCTTGATTGCGTGCACGATCGCCAGCATCTCGCGGTCGTGTATCGGGTAGTTGCGCTCGGGCGGGTGCAGCTTGCGGGACTCGTACGCGATTGGCTGGAGGCCGTTCCCGAAATCCTGCAACAGTACTGCTCCCATGGCGATGTCACTTGCGTCAGTGACGAGCTCGAACGGGCGGTGCGGATCGGCGATGCGAAGCACGGGCGGCGAGCACATTATTTGCTTGAGGGCTGAGAAGGCAGCTTGCTCTTTCCCCCCCCACGTGTACTCAACCCCCTTCCGCAGTAGGTCGGTCAGCGGGGCGGTCAGCTTCGCCATGTCGGGGACGAACCGACGCACGTAGTTGACGAACCCCAAAAAACTCTGCAGCTCAGTCAGATTCGTGGGTGCGTGCCAAGCAGACCTGTCGATTCAAGGGCATGTGCCCTTAATGCGCTGAACATTAAGGGCTAGTTTCGCTCCAGCTCCAATGCGTCAAGTTTTAGATTCGCACCCCACCCGTGCCACTAAGTGCTTCGTTCGACCCTTCCCCGGATGCGTTAAGGGACGAAACCAGGCCTTCCCCTTTATCTAAGTTTTGGTTTCCGATCGTAGGACCCCCACCCCCTGGCTGCCAGAGACCCTCCCCCCCTCTTCTCCTTAGCCTGCACGAGAGCGCGCCAAGTGGATTTTTCCCTTAGCGTTTTCTAGCCAATCTCGTGTGTGTAGTGTGTCTCAGTCAGCCTTGGAGCACCCGAACATTCCCTTAGCGTCCAATACATGCCCGGATTTCAAGTTTTCACTTTGGGGTGCGCCCGTGACCGTTAAGGGCGCCAAAACGCTCACCTACACCCAACCAAGGGTCAGATGGGGAGGAGCTGGGGAGTGCAAGTACGAGCCCCAGAAACTTCGACAGGCCTGGTGCCAAGCCTGAATCGTCGCGATCTTCTTCGGGTCTATTTCCACCCCGTTGGCTGAAATAACGTGGCCTAAAAACTCTAGTCTGTCCTGTAGGAACTCACACTTAGAGGCTTTCTTCAGTAGGCGGTGCTCACTCAGTGTTCGAAAAACTGCTTCTATGTCCTGTAAGTGTTGTGCTCTGTCGGGGCTGTAAATCAAGATGTCGTCGAGGTAGACAATGACGCACTTATCTAAGAGCAGGCGGAATGCCTCGTTCATCGCCATCTGGAAGGTGGCGGGGGCGTTGGTCAGTCGGAAAGCATTACCGTGTATTCGTAGGATCCGTAGCGTGTTCGGAAAGCGGTCTTGGGGCAGTCGGGTGGATGGACGCGGATTTGGTGGTAGCCTCCTCGAAGGTCGATTTTCGAAAAGACCCGGGCAGTGCGCAGTTGGTCGATCAGTTCGTCGGCTCGCGGGATGGGGTAACGGGACTTGATGGTAACTCGGTTCAGTGCTCTGTAGTCAATGCACATGCGAAACCCTCCGTCTTTTTTCGGTGTGAACAGTATCGGTGCGGCGAAGGGAGACGAACTGGGGCGAATGAACTTCTCGAGCAGGTAATCCAGCTGCTTCCTCAGTTCGTCCAGTTCGGGTTGGGTCAGTCGGAACTGTCGCTGTACTGTCGGCTGTGCCCCCGGTTCTAGTTCTATCCTGTGGTCGTGCGGTCGCTGAGGTGGCAGCCCCGTTGGCAGGTCGTCTGGAAAAATCTTTCTGTACTGCTTAAGGAGTACTGCGAAGTCATCCGGTACGTCGGCAAGCAGTTTCTGTAAATCCCCTCCCTGGTTTGCTGCTTCGGCTTCCCGAATGTCAACCGCATACACGTCAGCTCCTGCCGCTACGGCGCGTTTCATCGTGATCGCGTTGACACGCACCGACGAAGACTCAGGCGAGCCCCAGCGAGGTAAGGCGATGTTGTTACCGTTCACTCGCACGGTGCAGTCACCCGTCGTCCAGTCGATTCGCGGATTGTGCCGTCGCAACCAATCACGACTGAGTAAAATGTCGGTTCCGTCGAGGGTTGTCGCGAGCATTTCCTGACTAAACGTGAAGTTACCCCCGCATCGAATCCGAACCCGGTCTACGCGTTCCCGTATCGCCAGCGGCGTGCCGTCAACCAGTCTTGCATCGATTTCGGGTAAGCATCTGTCCAATGGTAGTTTCAGCTTCCGTGCTGTGGCAGTGTTGATGAGGCTGTGGCTGGCTCCCCCGTCTACGAAGATTTTAACTAAGTCTGTCCCGATTTTCCCACTAAGCAGTATGGGGCTGTCTACCGCGGTACCCTCCTTATTCGGCCGAGTGTGGTCGATTGCGTGAACCGGCACAATCACTCGGTGAGGGTCGGTTGGGTCGGGCGAGCGGCGTGACCTGTCAGTAGAGGGCCCGTCTGCTACTGACTCCCAGCGTTTCCCTGCTGCTTGGTCTGTTTCTGCTGCTCGGCTTCCCCCTTTCCCTTAGCGTTTTCCGGGCATTCGCTCTTGCGGTGTCCCGGCCGATTGCACGCGAAGCAGCGCCCTTTGAACGGTGCGGCAGCGGCATTCGCGGCGACGGCACGTATCGTAGCGCCCTCGTTCGTCCCACGAGACCGATGTCCCCAGTTGCTGCTATTTCCGTAGGACCCCGATCTCGATTGGCGAAAGAAGTCGAGCTTCTCCGCCATAGCGAGAATCTCCTGAAAGTCGGTGACGCCGCAAAGCTGGATCTCTTGAGCGATGTCGTGCTTCAGGCCGCCGATGTAGCGGTCGACGCGCTCGCTCTCATGCATGTAGCCCACCTGCTCGCATAACGCCAGAAACCCGCTGGTGTAATCTTGGACGGAACCGAGTTGGCGCCAAGTGCGGAGCTTCTGTCGTGCCGCAATCGAAGCCGCAATTGGCTCAAATCGAGCGCGCAGACCTGCGCACCACGCGTCCCACGTGCGATACTGGGGCACCTCCACGAAATACGACGGCGCCCAGGGTCCGGTTTGTCCTTCCCGTGTCGGTAGAGTCGCGTAGTCATTCGGCTTCGTGACGATGATGCTCCACCAATCCATGGCGAGTCCTCGCAGCAGCGACATGGCGTAGCGAATCTTCGTCGTATCTTCCGAGACGTAGTTGGCGTCGAAGAAAACGTTCATCGTGAACAACCACGCCTGAACGGTAGGACCACCCCGTTGACTCGGGTCAAAGCATGGCGGACGAAGCGGCTTCAGCGGCATCGGTGACGGCAGTGCTGAGTCGATGGTCGGTGCCGCAATCGTGACGCGGGGTTGGCTTGGGACCGCATTCGTCGCCTCGGGGTGTGTCGTGCCGTTGTCGTCGTCTCCGTCAGGGCGGACGACACCATCACTAGCCGCGCTCGCGGGTTGTCCCACACTTCCGTGTTGTGATGCTTGTGGTGCGGGCTGTGCCGGAGTGCCAGGTGCCTGAGACTGTGTTCGTGCAATGTCGTTTTGCAGGGACGTGCGTTCTGCCGTCAGCGCCGCGATTTCTTCAGAGCTTTCGCGAAGTTGCTGCAGCAGTTCATTCAGATGCTCCTGCGTGAGAGTGGTGACGTCGATGTGTTCGGCCATGGCGAAGGGCGTCGGCTCGGCTTAGTCTAGGCGCAGTCGTGGCTGCACGCGTTTACGAGAGAACGCGAGGACAGCGGCTCCTAGGGGCTAAGGTGCGTGAGTCCCTTCGAGTGAAAAATCAAAAGTTGATTTCCTGGGGTGCGGAGATGCGCGGTCCGAAAAAGGAAAGTAGCTTTGATACCAAGTGTTACGGGTGCAATGGATCGAGGTAGCGAGGATTGCACTAAGGTGTCAAATGAGTACAAAATGTGAGCGAAGGCATGAGCGAACATTTATACGCGAAACATGCAAACGGTAACGCGGTGCGTGCGAGCTAGCTAGTGCGATGCTGGCAGCGAGGTTCGGGCGAACAACAGTAGGCAAAATAGTGCGCGCGAAGGCGGTGAAGCCCTGTTAGCTGTAACGAGCGAACAACGGCTGGTGCTGTACGCGGTGTAGCCGCACTCCGTAAGGAATGGCGAGAAAATTCCTTACATCTCCACAGAAATGACTTGCTACAAGTACAAGGTACACAGAAAAAATGATATCTAAAATGACTAATGTCGAAGGCAAGCTCTTCCACTAGCACCAACAAAGAGAGTCAGCGTAAGAACCCCAGGAGTTCCTTAGTGAATGAAATTCTCCTTGAATAAATGTCGTATTTTAATCGACTACAAGTTCAAGCAACCACTTTTCAAGAAGGGGAAATAACCCTTCAGCTGAGCTCAGCCAGCAGTGCACATCTTTTATTTTATAATGTTTTGGTAGCTAAAATGCATCTATAGTCAGTGATGCACGAGAGAATTACCATCAATCATGCTCGTAGCTGAACCATGCCAGCAGTTACACTGACAAAAGCCCATCCAGGCAACTGCACATACAGAGAAAAAGGAGAGTCCAGGCTGTGTATTATGTCACAAGGTGCTAAGCAAACAAGTATTACGCGGAAAAAACACATCTCATATCACCATGGTGGTAAGGGAATGTTAGCAAGCAAGGGAAGCACAACATCTTGCATTGCAACCCTACCCCCTTAGCACGCACCTTGGTGTCCATGATCTTGACAAGCTGCTTCTTCTCCGCTTTGCTCAGCTCCAGCTGCTGCCCCACTGTGTCACGCAGAGAGGCCAACGCCACTCCTGCCTCTCCCTCCTGCTGGTGTGGTGTGGGTATGGGAAGAGAGTTGGAAGCATGGGAATGTAAAACCTTGGCTATGCACATGGAAATGTGCACGTATGCACGCACGCACCCACACCCGCATCCACGCACGCTCATACTCGCACCAACGCCCACACAAATGTTCAGCACATGTTCCCACCTTTTGCAGAGCCTTCTTCACAGCGCGTTTCACCCGAGTCTTCAACGCAACTCCATCTTTTGAGCCGTCAGCCGCTTCACTGCCAGAGCTGCTACCCTTTTTCAGCCTCTTCCTGCTGCCACCTGCCCCACCTTCCATTCCCTTCTCCTCTGCACCAATCCCCTCCTCTTTCACCTCTTCCTTCACAGCCTTCTCTTTGTGCTGCCATCTCTTTCCAATCACCGCTCTCCGCCTCTCTGCAACCCCCACCACCGCTTCACCCGCCATATCTGCTTTCCCACCCTTGTCTTTCCTCGACCGCTCCTCTCTCTTCCGCTTCTTACTCTTCCCCTCCCTCTCCCCCCCCTCCTGCTCCGCTGACCCAGCACCATCACCCCTTCCTGCATCCGCAGCAGCAGCGACAGAATCAGCAGCACGTGTCAAAACCGCCCCTTCTGCACCTTCTGACGCTAAACCCTCTTCTGTGCCCGTTGCCGCACGACCAGCATCCCTAACCTCTTCCTTTCCCTCCTCCTCCACCTCCTCCACCTCCTGCTCCACCTCACTCTCATTCTCCTCCTCCTCGCTGACCTCTTCTAAATCCTCGAACGTCTGTTTGGTGCCCTTCCATCGAGCCCCCGCCACCTTCCGCGGCAGGTCGCCGATGCCCAGCCCTTGCTTGCCGCTCGTCGCGTGATCCTGGGGAAGAGGGGAGGGGGAAAGGGGGAGGGGAAGAGAAGGAGGAATGGGGGGGTTGAGGGGGACTGGGGGGGTGGGGAAGCAGAAAGGGTTGGACCACCTATGCCGGCCCCTGCTTTCCGCTTGTTGCGTGATCCTAAGAAGCAAAGGTTTGGGGTGGTGGTGAGGAGAGAAGGGGAGGAAGAGGGAGGAAGAGGGAGGAGAGGAAGAGGGAGGAAGAGGGAGGAAGAGGGAGGAAGAGGGAGGAAGAGGGAGGAAGAGGGAGGAAGAGGGAGGAAGAGGGAGGAAGAGGGAGGAAGAGGGAGGAAGAGGGAGGAAGAGGGAGGAAGAGGGAGGAAGAGGGAGGAAGAGGGAGGAAGAGGGAGGAAGAGGGAGGAAGAGGGAGGAAGAGGGAGGAAGAGGAGAGGAAGAGGGAGGAAGAGGGAGGAAGAGGGAGGAAGAGGGAGGAAGATATGACGGATCTCTTGAAAGGAGAGCCTTACAGTTTTTTGCGATTTATAATGTATTATGTCGCTTGAAAGACATGTACAGATGTACCACGCGGCATGCGTGCCAGGCCAGCCAATGGGATGGCAAACCGGCGGCGGGGCCAGAAGCAGCAGCATGGACGCCACCAAACCATGATTTGGTGGCGCGCACTTGTATAGCACGACAGATTGAACTCCATGGCCATTTATAAGACCATCAAGCCTTCGAAGCGTGCAGCACAAAACAAACCCTCCTGCAAACTTTAAAAAACCCTGCAAACCCCTCCAACTCCACTCCACCCCTGAAACAAATCCGTTGATACGATTCAAGCTCCAAGACCCCTCAAACCCCGGAAACCATAGAAAACCCCGCTAAAAGCCTCCAGCATCGGTGCATACCTGCACGAGGTTGTACGGGTTCTCCTGGCCCTACTCGTTAAACCCCGCTTCCAACTCTCCGAAACCCCCCATAAACCATTGAAACCTTTCCAAAACCCTGCCGCCGATACGTACATGCACGAGGTTGTAGAGATTCTCCTGATCCTGCTCGCTGAAACCCGCCTTCTTCTCTCCATCCTCCTCCCCTCCCTCGTTCGTCAGCCGCCCGGCTCCCGAGCCTGACCCGCGCACGAACCCGAACCTCGAGCCCCACCAATCGGCAGGCAGCGGCGGGAAAACAAACTGCTTCTGGCACTCCAGCTCCAACAACCCGCTCTTCTTAGGCTCGGCCAAACCTGCCGCTCCGGCAGCTTTCTTTTTCGACCCTGTAGCGCTGCTGGTGCTGTGGCAAAGAGCTGTATCTGAAGCGGATTTCACCACCCGCTTCTGTACCCGCCCTGCTGCTGCTGCGGGTGCGGATGATTCAGCTCCTGCTGCTGTTGGCACTAAAGGAGAGGATGCGTTTGCAGCAGGTGTGGATTGTGGGGAGGTGGGAGGGTTGAGGGCGGCAGAGGAGGGAGATGCAGTGGCCGTGGGGTCGAGGCGAGGAGTGAGCGGCGCAGGAGGGGACGACGTGGGAACGGCACCCTGTGATGGCGGAACGCGGCGGAATGGGAGGGATAGGAGAAACGAAGAAAACAGGAGTTGGAAGCGGTACTAAGATTTGGAAAATTGGTACAAACGCTGCGAAGAGCCGATACGGCGAGAGATGTTTACAAAAATGGCAAAGAGGGTAAACAGAATTGCGAATGTTACCAGACTGGCGAAAAGGGTTACCAGAATGGCAACGAGGATTACCACAGCAGCGAATAGGGGTACCGAAATTGAGTGTTACCGAAGTGGAGGGTTACCGAAATGGAGGGGTACCGAAATGGAGGGTTACCAGAATGGCGGAGAGGTCGTTGGTGGAGTAGGACTTGACGCACTTGCCCGCCTCCCTGCGGTGGTACCTGCAGTGAGATGGGCGGAACGGCGTGGATGCAATGAGAGGACTCAGTAAAGGGGAAGATGACTACATGAGACCAAAAAAAAAAAAAAAAAAAAAAAAAACACCGAATTTCGAAACGTCTCACAGAACAAAGGGATGCAAAATCAGCATGATGACCTTCAGAAAAAAAGGGGAAGCATCGTCCAATCAAGACACACACGCCAACCATCCACCCATCCCACTCCATCTCTCACCGGCCCTGTGGTCGCACAAGCTTCTGCCGCTTGGGCAACTCTGTCTCCTCATCCGCCTGCTTCCGCTTCTCTTTCTTCTCCTTCTTATCCTTCTTGCTCTTCTTCATCTTCTTCATCTTTTTCATTTTCATCCCCCCTCCCCCTCGCCCTCGCCTGAGCTTCTGCTCTCATCGGACTCGTCATCAGCTGGGGCACGGAATGCGAGACGGGATAGAGCGAGGAGCGCGAGCGAAGGGATGAAAAAAGAGAGAAATGTGAGAACGAAAAACATGAAGGATTGCGCTGCAAGTCGACACAGCAGCCCCTTCCAGGTGCGGATACGCATAAAAGTTAATGGATATGTATATCGGAAGCTTGAAAGCAAAGCATCTTACACGAGTCGGAAGAGGAAGAGTCAGATGCTTGCTGCTGGCGACTCTTGCCGTCGTTTACGGCCTGGATGTGGAGAAGGGAGGGAGGGTAACAAAGGGAGATTAATTGAGCGGAAAAGATATTACTGCACACAAACGAACGGGTTTAATAAGGCGTGCGCATATTTAGGCGGCTCGACCAATCATCAACCGCGAACCCGAACGGCTGAATCGCTTAAGATAAGTCGCTCAAGGACGGCGTCAAACACGGTGATGCCAGCGACGAGTCGCCTTACACCTTCTTCCAACGCAAACCCTAGAGCTTCAAACGAAATGTATGCGAAATGTAGGCGAAATGCAGGCGAAATGCAGGTGAGCAGGGTGGCGACTTACCACGTTGAGGCGCTTGAGAAGGTCGTCGAAGACGGCGGTATTGACGGACCAATTGCACGTCGCCTTCTTCGCCTCCGCAATCCCCACGCCTGGCGGGAGCGGAGCGGATGAACGACGAATGGGAGAGAGAGAGGAGGCAAGAAGTCGGTCGGTGGTCTGCCAAGTCATTTCAATAACGCGCTGATGCGTAACTACACACGAAATCCTCCCATCGCGTGCCTGTGGTGTTGCAAAGTCTATACACGGATTTCTCAACACACTCCCCTGGCGATCACTCGCGTACCTGCCGTGTCGAACTTCTTCGTCACGCGCACGTGAGTCGCGATGCCTTGCCCGTGCTTCCCCAGCCCCTTGCCCTCCTCCCAGCCCTGCGATCGAAGCACAGAGACGAAATCAACGGCGAGAGATGAGCCATTTGCGAGGACACGGAGCAGTGTACTGAACGGGGAGAGCTCGTTAGCTCGAAGCACGCACGAAGGGACGCAATGCCACGGAAACCACGTAATCAGCTCCTCAGGCCGAGATCCACTGCAAACCGCGCTGCAAAATCCGCTGCGAAACCCGACGCGAAACCCGCTGCGAAACCCGCAGCGTAACCAAAATCGTAACCAACTGCGCAACCCACTGCAATCGTTGCTAGGGCGAACCACATCCCTTCAAGCTCTACACCAATCATGCGCGCTCATTCCCCTTCAAGCGAGGAACACGCTCGGCACAACGGTCATTTCAAGCTCACCATGTTTTTCATGAGCTTGAAGGCGAGGGGAGTCCTTCTCCACTCTGACGCACCACACCTCATCAATCTACACGCCCCCGCATTCATCATTTGGAACACGCACGGCACGCACCATGTTTTTCATGAGCTTGAAGGCGAGCGAGTCCTTCTCCACGCCCTGGAACAGGCGCGCTCCCTCCTTCACCACCGGCCCCGCCATGCTGCTCCACCCGCGGAATGCGGACGAGATTGATGTGACGACGACCCCGAAGGATAACGGCTCGTCGGTGCACGCACAGGAGTGACGAATCCAACGCAACGAAACGTGCTTCACAGAGAGAGGCGGAAACGGGGAAAAGGAAGTGGAGAAAACCTTCTCACTGAGAAGAGAAACCTCGCAAGCGAGGGAAGGAAACCCTAGAAAGGGCACGTAGGCTCAAGCAGGAGCAAAGAGAACGAAATCTGTGTGAGTTGCGAGTTGAAATGCACAAGCAGCACTCGAGAGAGTTGACGCCTTGGTTGGTGGTGTGGTGTGCTAGCAGGTGGAAGCCGGTTGGTGGTGGCTGGTGCAAGCAGCCAACGGCAGTACTGGCTGGCAGGTAGGGGAGCCATTTTGGAATAACTTGTTCGAGCCGAGTCGGTTCGATCGGTTTTCACACGGCTGAATTCGGCGGAAATTCGTCGTGGTATGCCACAGCGCACCACAACGGTTCGATACAAGTAAAATTTTTGCGTTCCGATAGTGGTGTTACACTCCTAAAGAGAATGTTGACAGACGTAAACATGATACACTACGATGTATTATATTAAACAGGATCCAGCAATGAGTGACCTCAACTGGATGCCAATCCAGTTCGCACGGAATCCACTACACATCAGTTACCATGCGACAATGGAGAGAGATGACACCTGGAATGGGGAAAGGGAGAAAAAAAACACACATAACCAAATTGGAAAACAAAACTTGGTCGAATACGTGACCACAAAACATTAGGGCGTGTTCCTATCAGGCAACCTCGTATCAATTTCGCGTCGAACCGCACTAAAACGCATCCAACCGCAGTCGAACACACTGAAACGCATTTCACCATGCGAATCTGACACGAGGTGTTTCTGATACGAGGTGTAGGAACACGCTCTTAGTGTAATCGAGCACATCAGAGCCAACAGAAACGCATACCCGAGTAATCCTCGTCCGCTCCATCGTCGCGGAGTCACCAGCAGCTCGACAACATTCCCGGCCCTCAGCACTGTCATGTTCACCCCTCTCCCTTCACTCCTCTGCAGCTCTGCGGCCACCTGCTTCAGCAACTCCGCCCCTCCAGCCACACTGCTTCCCCCTCCCCATTCCCTTCCCTCTGTTACTTCAGTGGCGGCAGAAGCAGCACTGGCGCCAGCAGCAGCAGCGACGGAGCCAAAGCGGAGCAGCCTATCTCCCAGCCTCACACCATCAGCCTCTGCTGGGCTGCCAGGTGTCACCTCGTCCACCACCGCAAAGGGCGTGGAGGAAGGGGATGCTGCTGCAGACGGGAGTGCAGTAGCTGCAGAAGCAGGTGTGGAAGGAGCGACAGCAGCATCAGGAGCAGCAGCTGCAGTGGGGCTGGCAGCGGCACTGCCAGCAGCAGGAGTGGCAGCGGCAGTGGCATTTGCTGATGGAGGAGTGGAGGCTGAAGCTTCTGCCTTTGGCCGTGTGTGCTCCCTGGGTTTGGCCTGCGAGTGGATCTGCACCAGCAGCAACTCGATCTGCCCTGTCAGCTGCTTGTGGTCCGAGTGGAGCGCTGCGATTGGTTGGCAGCGTGGCGGCATGTGGGGTGCGGAAATGGTGGGGGTAGCATTGGGATGAACAGCAGGCAAGCTGATGAATGGGACGACTGATCAACGGGACACGAGATGAATGGGACATGAGATGAATGGGACACGAGATGAAGTGTTTAAAACCAGCATAAGGAGACGGATCCTGGTCACCCCACCCAACAGCTAGTTTTGAGGCGCGTCAAAACGCGAGATGAAGTATTGAAAACCAGCAGCAGGTGATGCATCCTGGTCACCCCAACCAATAGCTGTGAGTTGGACCTAAACTACTCTCATGGTGGTTGCTCAACTCTACTTTGCAAGAAAAGGGGAGAGGAGAAGGTGGTGGGAGAGGAAGGAAGGGGGTGGTGGTGGTTGTGAGCCTTACTTGCGAGGCGGTGTCGGTCGGAGCGGACTCGAGGAATGTCAATGTCGGCACGAGGGAAGCCCTGAAGGGAAGGGATAATGAGAGAGGAACGAAAGAGAGGGGGCGGGGGATCAGGAGGGAAGGGGGAGAGAGAGAATTTTCAGGCTCAAGCATGTCTCACGAGTACAACCCCCACTTTCCTTGAGTCAACCACACGGCAAGAATCACACACCCTACCTCTTTATCCACTGTCTCTCGGATTCCGCTCTCCTGCCAGACGCGCTCAACCTCATGACTTTGACTCGAATCAATTGTATAATCGCAGGAATCACTCGCTCCTACCTCCTTATCCACCAGGCTGACTTCCGAGTCGCCTCAAAGGTCACCTCGCAAGAATCACACACCCCCTATCTCTTTATCCACCAGGCTCTCTCAAATTCCGCTCTCCCGCCCGACTCGCTCAACCTCGCATCAAATCGCAGAAATCACACACCCCCTACCTTCTTATCCACCAGGCTCTCGTTGGTTCCGCCTCCCCCAAGCGCATTCAATCTCATGACTTTTGAGTCACTCAAAGGTCACCTCGCAGGAACTACACGCTCCCCCTACCTCCTTATCCACCAGGCTCTCGTTGGTTCCGCCTCCTCCAGGCGCGTTCAATCTCGCGGCGATCGCGTTGATCTGCGCCTCGAGATTGTCGCGCCGCGCCATTAGCTCCTTCGCCTGCTCCCGCAGCGCCCCCGCGTCCGCCATGCCCATGCGAACCAGAAACTCGCCTTTATACTCGTTTTCGCTTACGAATTTTCGCCGAATGTTCACTTTCGCTTATTTCGAGTAATGCTCGTCTTCAGCCAATCCTGGCATCGACAAGTCGAGGGATGCAGAGGCTGTGGCTTCTCACGGAACGAAAATCCTTCAGTACGGCGATTACTCCTTAGTAGTACTAAGTAGACCCGGAAAAAAGCTGTGACTCCTCACGGAACATGTATCTCTGAAAACGGGCCTCGGTGGTCGTTCGACCACGGAAACGTGGTGCTGCCTACGAGAACCCCTAGTTGATACGCGTGTGATTGTCGGGAAGCTAAGAAAATCACTGTGTTAGTGAATAACTGGCGTTAGTTAGGTCCAAGCAGGACATCAACGTGCGCCCGGCGGGTCCGGCGTTCAAATCACGGGTCACGGAAAGCGGAAGGAGATGCTACGTAACAGTATTATTCGCTCCTGAGATGGCGCGAAATTGACCTTGTAGAGAGTGCATGGGACGCCATCGTTTTACCCGCTCTCCATGTGCATGGATCCTACCCCTTCTAGAAGCAGGTCGAGCTGTTCAAAATAATAATTCGTATCTCAGTTCAAAATTTATGTTGAGGTAACCGTTACAGCAGCTGAACATGTCAGAAGTCATTACAGTTTCACTTTGTGTGTCACAAATTCCATTTAATGGACCCCTCATTCTCGGGTAATAAAATGTTTCTGAATCGAACTTTCGTCCTTTTCACTCCACTTTGTGGCTTTCAATACGTCGTGATGAATCGGATCGCACCAGATTCTACGTCAGACCCTATGAAGATGCTCTGACTCCTGAACCACTGAAGAATATCGCGAACCCACACCATCCAATACTAGTACAGTACAGGGTGTTGGAGTGTGACTGTGATGATCCAAGTACAGATATCCCTGAGTACCACCTTGTAACGTACAGAATCGAACTTGATCGATGCGATCAACGATCGGCCTTCAGCCCTAGTCTCATGCTCAAGCACTTCCAGCTTCGAGCCTCTCAAATTTGAGAAATGGATGATGTTGAAAACGAATAGATGCATCATGGTCACTCCGGTGCGACATATCATAGCGACAATCCGCGGATGCTGCTTACAATCTCCTGGTCTTGGGAGTTGCTTGTAACTGGAAACCGATTACGTCTCCTTGATTTCCTTGACTAGGAGTGGGAGGAGCTCGCAATGTCTAGTTTCCGCCGATCCGTTCTCCAGCGGCTTCGCACCGCCGTTATTCTGATCCCTGCCATCCTCGTTATAGGACCGCATTTCGACGTACGGCTTCCGCCCGTCGCAGCGCAGGGCGCCGATTGGTCGAGGGAGTCAGATGGAGGAGGCGAGGGAGCAGGCGGCGGAGGCAGCTTCGCAGAAACTTCGTCTCTTTCATACACGTGTCCCCAGGAAATGGCGTCGCGTCCATATTCTGATAGCTTCGATCCCTGTGAGCTTAGTCTTAAATATTCCAGTCTTCGATTGTTTTAATCTTCAAAACCTCCAGCTAGTTTGCGAAGCTGAGAATTTCAGCTCTTTCTGCCGCCCAATTCGGATAAAATTTTGTGAGTTTGCCCGTTTCTGTCAGTACAGGTTTCCCCCTTTTCCCCCTTTTCCCCCTTCCGCCTTCCCACTTCCTCCTTCCCCTTCCCCTTCCCCTTCCCCTTCCCCTTCCCCTTCCCCTTCCCCTTCCCCTTCCCCTTCCCCCGCAGCCGCCTTACTCTCCGCCAAGTTCATATCAGTGGGTCGCCTGTACGAGCAGCTCAGCAAGGCTCGGCTGCATCTGGGGGAGGTGTTATCTGTGGCGCGGCACACAGGCCGCACACTCATCCTGCCGTCCGTTGGAAACAGCAGGATCGGCACTGTAGCGGATTACGCCTTCCCCTTCTGCACTTATTTCGACCCGGGCAGGCTCGGGCAGTTTGTGCCGTGGGTCTCGGAGGAGTTTTTTTACGGGCAGGTGGTGCCGGCGTGGCGGGCAGCAGGAAGAGGGGGAGGAAGTGTGGTGGCGCTGGTGCTGGGGGATGCCAAGATGAAGGCGTGTGATGTGGTGGGTGGAATGAGGATGATACGTTAATTTTTTGTTTCTTTTTCCTTTTCTGCTGAGCGCAAGGAGTGAAAAATGAGGCAGGCACGCACTGATGAGCCAATGACTTCCTTACCCCCTCTTCCTCCTCACCCATCCCGATCCCTCTCTTTTATTCCAGTGTACAGCATCTTCTGCCAAGATCGGCTGCAACACCAACATGATTGGTATTCAGCCCAATGCCATTCGCCGTGACAGTGCCCCTTCCTTACCCCGCCTCCCTCCCCCTCCCCAACTCCTATCCCTCCCTCTCCTTCCATTTCAGTAGGGGGCATCTCATGCCAAGATCGACCGCAACCCCAACACACCTCCAGCCCATCGAGTTTCTCTGTCCCAACTCCTCCCTTGCCCCTCTTCTCTCACCTACCACACCCCCCCTTTTCCTCTCTTTCCATTCCAGTAAACAGCATCATACGCCAAGATCGGTCGCAACACCAATACACCTGGTTTACAGCCCAACCCATCCCAACACCTCACTTACCCCTTCGTCCCCCACACGCCCCCTTTTCTCCCACCCTCCACTTCCCTTCCTTTCTTTCCATTCCATTATAGAGCATCGTATGCCAAGATCGGTCGCAACACTAACTCTTTTGGCCTCCAGCCCAACGCCTCTTTCCGAGCCCAATCCTTCCCTTACCCCCCTTTTCCCCCTCAACCCCCCTCCCTCTACTTCCATTCCAGTAGAGAGCATCTTATGCCAAGATCGGCCGCAACACCAACACACCTGGTCTCCAACCCAACGTCTCTCTCCGTGCCGATGCCTCTCTCCTGCTCAACCGCGCTCTCCTCTCCCCCGCCCTCTGCACCCGCACCTGCACCACTAAACGCCGCGCCAAGCCGCCCGGTGCCGAGGACCTGCTGGGAAGAGACAGAGGTGCTACAGTGCTGCCTGGGGAGGAGCCGATGGTGGCATTGGGAAGAACGGGCGGCGGAGAGGGGGAGATGGAGGAGGAGGAGGAGGAGGGGAAAAGAGAGAAGGAAGGGGAAGGTGGGAAGGAGAGGGAGAGACGGAAGGGAGGAGAAGGTAGAGAAGGTGGGGAGGAAGGGAAAGTAGAACCTGATCGGAACGCTGACGTGGCAGTGGTGTTCAAGTCGTCGCCACTGATGTGTCTCTCCCGGATAGGTCGGCTGGCGTCAGAGTCCCGGCGGTTCCTGGTGTACCCTCGTCACCTGCACCTTGCAGCGGATCACCTTATAACGAAGCACATGCAACTGCAAGAAGGCGGGGCGAGCCGAGGGGGCAGAAAAGAGGAGAGTGCTGAGAATGGGCGGGGACACATGCAAGGAGGACGGGGTGGGGGAAGGGACGTGGGGGCAATGGGGATGGTGGCGGCGCACTGGCGGCTGGAGAAGGCTTTTCGGGCGGGGGTGCGGCTGCAGCAGGTGGCCGCCTGCGCTCGAGGGCTCGTGGACACAGTCAGAGGGTGGGCGAAGAGGGTGGGAAAGGAGCATGGCGAGCAGCAGCTGGCGGTGTTCCTGGCCACGGACCTCACTCCTGACAACAGGTGCGTGGGCGTGTCTTTGCCCTGTCCTGTCTCATGCCTTCTTCTGAGTCAAAAGACAGCTTGAGCAGCAGGTGGCGTGGTGGTGTTTCTGGCCACGGACCTCACTCCTGACAACAGGTATGCGGGTGTGTATTCGCCCCGTACCGTCACATGCCGTCTGAGTTGACTCAAAAGACAGCTTGAGCAGCAGGTGTGCGGGTGCTTCTTGCCTCGCGCTGTCACATGCCTTTTGAGTCGACTCAAAAGCCACCTTGAGCAGCTGCTGGCGGTGTTTTTCTGGCCACAGATGTAACTCCTCACAGCAGGCCCGTGGTTGCTTCTTTACCCATGCCGTCAGTTGTCCAACTCCTTCACATTACTCAGCGGGAGCACATGGAAACGTAGGGGCACCTGACGTTACTGAGGTCCCTTTTCTCTCTGGTTCTGCTTCCGTCCCATCCATCTGCTTTAACATTACTCAGCAAGGAGCACAGGGGAACTGAAGAGCCCTGTTGCCTCTGCTTCTGCCCCCATCCCCATCCCATGCTGTCAAATGGATGTCCAACTCCTTCCCATGCTCAGCAGAGACCACAGGGACCCATCGCATGGTTTCAAATGCTTGCAAGCTGCTTGATTAGCATCAGTGCACTCTGTCTCATCGCTCCTAACCTCTCTGTCCCATTTCATGCCATCAGGTGGATGTCAAACTCCTTCACAGTACTCAGCAAGGAGCGCCGGGAAGCTCATGGTCCCTAGTCTCTTCTCCTGCCCCATTCCCATCCCCATCCCCATCCCCATCCCCATCCCCATCCCCATCCCCATCCCCATCAGATGGATGTCAAACTCCTTCATGGTACTCAGCAAGGGTTACCGAGAAACAGCAAAGAGCTGTGACTGACTCTTCACCCCCATTCCCTCTGCACTTGCCCCATCCCCATGCCATTAGGTGGATGTGGTGGATGTGAAACTCCTTCACTATACTCAGCAAAGAGCACCAGGAAACTCATGGCCCTTATTCCCTCTCCTTCGGCCCTTATTCCCTCTCCTTCGGCCCTTATTCCCTCTCCTTCGGCCCTTATTCCCTCTCCTTCGGCCCTTATTCCCTCTCCTTCGGCCCTTATTCCCTCTCCTTCGGCCCTTATTCCCTCTCCTTCAGCCCTTATTCCCTCTCCTTCGGCCCTTATTCCCTCTCCTTCGGCCCTTATTCCCTCTCCTTCGGCCCTTATTCCCTCTCCTTCAGCCCTTATTCCCTCTCCTTCGGCCCTTATTCCCTCTCCTTAGGCCCTTATTCCCTCTCCTTCAGCCCTTATTCCCTCTCCTTCGGCCCTTATTCCCTCTCCTTCGGCCCTTATTCCCTCTCCTTCAGCCCTTATTCCCTCTCCTTCGGCCCTTATTCCCTCTCCTTCGGCCCTTATTCCCTCTCCTTCAGCCCTTATTCCCTCTCCTTCGGCCCTTATTCCCTCTCCTTCGGCCCTTATTCCCTCTCCTTCGGCCCTTATTCCCTCTCCTTCGGCCCCTATTCCCTTTGATGCTGCCCCATCCCCATCCCATGCCATTAGGTGGGATGTCCAACTCCTTCACTGTACTCAGCAAGGCGCACAGAGAAACTTCAAGGAGCTTTAAATGACTCATCGCCCGTATTCCCACTGTGCCTGTTCCCTTCGTTTCCCATCCCATGCCATCAGATGGATGTCCAACTCCTTCACTGTACTCAGCAAGGAGCACCGGGATGTGGCTTTAAGAACAGTGCAGGTGAGCTCGCTTTAAGAACAGTGCAGGTGAGCTCGCTTTAAGAACAGTGCAGGTGAGCTCGCTTTAAGAACAGTGCAGGTGAGCTCGCTTTAAGAACAGTGCAGGTGAGCTCGCTTTAAGAACAGTGCAGGTGAGCTCGCTTTAAGAACAGTGCAGGTGAGCTCGCTTTAAGAACAGTGCAGGTGAGCTCGCTTTAAGAACAGTGCAGGTGAGCTCGCTTTAAGAACAGTGCAGGTGAGCTCGCTTTAAGAACAGTGCAGGTGAGCTCGCTTTAAGAACAGTGCAGGTGAGCTCGCTTTAAGAACAGTGCAGGTGAGCTCGCTTTAAGAACAGTGCAGGTGAGCTCGCTTTAAGAACAGTGCAGGTGAGCTCGCTTTAAGAACAGTGCAGGTGAGCTCGCTTTAAGAACAGTGCAGGTGAGCTCGCTTTAAGAACAGTGCAGGTGAGCTCGCTTTAAGAACAGTGCAGGTGAGCTCGCTTTAAGAACAGTGCAGGTGAGCTCGCTTTAAGAACAGTGCAGGTGAGCTCGCTTTAAGAACAGTGCAGGTGAGCTCGCTTTAAGAACAGTGCAGGTGAGCTCGCTTTAAGAACAGTGCAGGTGAGCTCGCTTTAAGAACAGTGCAGGTGAGCTCGCTTTAAGAACAGTGCAGGTGAGCTCGCTTTAAGAACAGTGCAGGTGAGCTCGCTTTAAGAACAGTGCAGGTGAGCTCGCTTTAAGAACAGTGCAGGTGAGCTCGCTTTAAGAACAGTGCAGGTGAGCTCGCTTTAAGAACAGTGCAGGTGAGCTCGCTTTAAGAACAGTGCAGGTGAGCTCGCTTTAAGAACAGTGCAGGTGAGCTCGCTTTAAGAACAGTGCAGGTGAGCTCGCTTTAAGAACAGTGCAGGTGAGCTCGCTTTAAGAACAGTGCAGGTGAGCTCGCTTTAAGAACAGTGCAGGTGAGCTCGCTTTAAGAACAGTGCAGGTGAGCTCGCTTTAAGAACAGTGCAGGTGAGCTCGCTTTAAGAACAGTGCAGGTGAGCTCGCTTTAAGAACAGTGCAGGTGAGCTCGCTTTAAGAACAGTGCAGGTGAGCTCGCTTTAAGAACAGTGCAGGTGAGCTCGCTTTAAGAACAGTGCAGGTGAGCTCGCTTTAAGAACAGTGCAGGTGAGCTCTCTTTAAAAACAGTGCAGGTGAGCTCGCTTTAAGAACAGTGCAGGTGAGCTCGCTTTAAGAACAGTGCAGGTGAGCTCGCTTTAAGAACAGTGCAGGTGAGCTCGCTTTAAGAACAGTGCAGGTGAGCTCGCTTTAAGAACAGTGCAGGTGAGCTCGCTTTAAGAACAGTGCAGGTGAGCTCGCTTTAAGAACAGTGCAGGTGAGCTCGCTTTAAGAACAGTGCAGGTGAGCTCGCTTTAAGAACAGTGCAGGTGAGCTCGCTTTAAGAACAGTGCAGGTGAGCTCGCTTTAAGAACAGTGCAGGTGAGCTCGCTTTAAGAACAGTGCAGGTGAGCTCGCTTTAAGAACAGTGCAGGTGAGCTCGCTTTAAGAACAGTGCAGGTGAGCTCGCTTTAAGAACAGTGCAGGTGAGCTCGCTTTAAGAACAGTGCAGGTGAGCTCGCTTTAAGAACAGTGCAGGTGAGCTCGCTTTAAGAACAGTGCAGGTGAGCTCGCTTTAAGAACAGTGCAGGTGAGCTCGCTTTAAGAACAGTGCAGGTGAGCTCGCTTTAAGAACAGTGCAGGTGAGCTCGCTTTAAGAACAGTGCAGGTGAGCTCGCTTTAAGAACAGTGCAGGTGAGCTCGCTTTAAGAACAGTGCAGGTGAGCTCGCTTTAAGAACAGTGCAGGTGAGCTCGCTTTAAGAACAGTGCAGGTGAGCTCGCTTTAAGAACAGTGCAGGTGAGCTCGCTTTAAGAACAGTGCAGGTGAGCTCGCTTTAAGAACAGTGCAGGTGAGCTCGCTTTAAGAACAGTGCAGGTGAGCTCTCTTTAAAAACAGTGCAGGTGAGCTCTCTTTAAGAACAGTGCAGGTGAGCTCGCTTTAAGAACAGTGCAGGTGAGCTCGCTTTAAGAACAGTGCAGGTGAGCTCGCTTTAAGAACAGTGCAGGTGAGCTCGCTTTAAGAACAGTGCAGGTGAGCTCGCTTTAAGAACAGTGCAGGTGAGCTCGCTTTAAGAACAGTGCAGGTGAGCTCGCTTTAAGAACAGTGCAGGTGAGCTCGCTTTAAGAACAGTGCAGGTGAGCTCGCTTTAAGAACAGTGCAGGTGAGCTCGCTTTAAGAACAGTGCAGGTGAGCTCGCTTTAAGAACAGTGCAGGTGAGCTCGCTTTAAGAACAGTGCAGGTGAGCTCGCTTTAAGAACAGTGCAGGTGAGCTCGCTTTAAGAACAGTGCAGGTGAGCTCGCTTTAAGAACAGTGCAGGTGAGCTCGCTTTAAGAACAGTGCAGGTGAGCTCGCTTTAAGAACAGTGCAGGTGAGCTCGCTTTAAGAACAGTGCAGGTGAGCTCTCTTTAAAAACAGTGCAGGTGAGCTCTCTTTAAGAACAGTGCAGGTGAGCTCGCTTTAAGAACAGTGCAGGTGAGCTCGCTTTAAGAACAGTGCAGGTGAGCTCGCTTTAAGAACAGTGCAGGTGAGCTCGCTTTAAGAACAGTGCAGGTGAGCTCGCTTTAAGAACAGTGCAGGTGAGCTCGCTTTAAGAACAGTGCAGGTGAGCTCGCTTTAAGAACAGTGCAGGTGAGCTCGCTTTAAGAACAGTGCAGGTGAGCTCGCTTTAAGAACAGTGCAGGTGAGCTCGCTTTAAGAACAGTGCAGGTGAGCTCGCTTTAAGAACAGTGCAGGTGAGCTCGCTTTAAGAACAGTGCAGGTGAGCTCGCTTTAAGAACAGTGCAGGTGAGCTCGCTTTAAGAACAGTGCAGGTGAGCTCGCTTTAAGAACAGTGCAGGTGAGCTCGCTTTAAGAACAGTGCAGGTGAGCTCGCTTTAAGAACAGTGCAGGTGAGCTCGCTTTAAGAACAGTGCAGGTGAGCTCTCTTTAAAAACAGTGCAGGTGAGCTCTCTTCAAGAACAGTGCAGGTGAGCTCGCTTTAAGAACAGTGCAGGTGAGCTCGCTTTAAGAACAGTGCAGGTGAGCTCGCTTTAAGAACAGTGCAGGTGAGCTCGCTTTAAGAACAGTGCAGGTGAGCTCGCTTTAAGAACAGTGCAGGTGAGCTCGCTTTAAGAACAGTGCAGGTGAGCTCGCTTTAAGAACAGTGCAGGTGAGCTCTCTTTAAAAACAGTGCAGGTGAGCTCTCTTTAAGAACAGTGCAGGTGAGCTCGCTTTAAGAACAGTGCAGGTGAGCTCGCTTTAAGAACAGTGCAGGTGAGCTCGCTTTAAGAACAGTGCAGGTGAGCTCGCTTTAAGAACAGTGCAGGTGAGCTCGCTTTAAGAACAGTGCAGGTGAGCTCGCTTTAAGAACAGTGCAGGTGAGCTCGCTTTAAGAACAGTGCAGGTGAGCTCGCTTTAAGAACAGTGCAGGTGAGCTCGCTTTAAGAACAGTGCAGGTGAGCTCGCTTTAAGAACAGTGCAGGTGAGCTCGCTTTAAGAACAGTGCAGGTGAGCTCGCTTTAAGAACAGTGCAGGTGAGCTCGCTTTAAGAACAGTGCAGGTGAGCTCGCTTTAAGAACAGTGCAGGTGAGCTCGCTTTAAGAACAGTGCAGGTGAGCTCGCTTTAAGAACAGTGCAGGTGAGCTCGCTTTAAGAACAGTGCAGGTGAGCTCGCTTTAAGAACAGTGCAGGTGAGCTCTCTTTAAAAACAGTGCAGGTGAGCTCTCTTTAAGAACAGTGCAGGTGAGCTCGCTTTAAGAACAGTGCAGGTGAGCTCTCTTTAAAAACAGTGCAGGTGAGCTCGCTTTAAGAACAGTGCAGGTGAGCTCGCTTTAAGAACAGTGCAGGTGAGCTCGCTTTAAGAACAGTGCAGGTGAGCTCGCTTTAAGAACAGTGCAGGTGAGCTCGCTTTAAGAACAGTGCAGGTGAGCTCGCTTTAAGAACAGTGCAGGTGAGCTCGCTTTAAGAACAGTGCAGGTGAGCTCGCTTTAAGAACAGTGCAGGTGAGCTCGCTTTAAGAACAGTGCAGGTGAGCTCGCTTTAAGAACAGTGCAGGTGAGCTCGCTTTAAGAACAGTGCAGGTGAGCTCGCTTTAAGAACAGTGCAGGTGAGCTCGCTTTAAGAACAGTGCAGGTGAGCTCGCTTTAAGAACAGTGCAGGTGAGCTCGCTTTAAGAACAGTGCAGGTGAGCTCGCTTTAAGAACAGTGCAGGTGAGCTCGCTTTAAGAACAGTGCAGGTGAGCTCGCTTTAAGAACAGTGCAGGTGAGCTCGCTTTAAGAACAGTGCAGGTGAGCTCGCTTTAAGAACAGTGCAGGTGAGCTCGCTTTAAGAACAGTGCAGGTGAGCTCGCTTTAAGAACAGTGCAGGTGAGCTCGCTTTAAGAACAGTGCAGGTGAGCTCGCTTTAAGAACAGTGCAGGTGAGCTCGCTTTAAGAACAGTGCAGGTGAGCTCGCTTTAAGAACAGTGCAGGTGAGCTCGCTTTAAGAACAGTGCAGGTGAGCTCGCTTTAAGAACAGTGCAGGTGAGCTCGCTTTAAGAACAGTGCAGGTGAGCTCTCTTTAAAAACAGTGCAGGTGAGCTCGCTTTAAGAACAGTGCAGGTGAGCTCGCTTTAAGAACAGTGCAGGTGAGCTCGCTTTAAGAACAGTGCAGGTGAGCTCGCTTTAAGAACAGTGCAGGTGAGCTCGCTTTAAGAACAGTGCAGGTGAGCTCGCTTTAAGAAC